ACTATGGGTATTTTACACACACACACACACACACACACACACGCACACACGCACACACGCACACACGCACACACGCGCACACACACACACACACACACACACACACACACACACACACACACACACACACACACACACACACACACACACACACACACACACACACACACACACACACACACACACACACACACACACATACTGCAAGTAGAACAATGAAGGGAAGTACAGGAAAACACACGAATATGCCGAAGGCCTTTTCACATTTACTGCTTCATCAGGGCATACAGAACAAGAGATACAGTATATATACATGTACTTGGCGGTCAGGTCACGTCGGTGATCAGTTGAGCGACGACCTTGGTTAGTTCGTGGCTCCCCGTTGCGGTGTTGAAGTTGTTAGTGGAGTATGCCGCTTCTACCCTCTTCCTTTGTCGTGGGGGCAGGCCTTGTTTTATGATGGAGGCCTGGAACCACTTAGGGAGATGGCCGTCGGTGTCGACGTGAACAACGAAGGAGCTCCTCCTGTCATGTCGCCGGAGGGCGCTGCGGTGTTGGTTGATTCGTTGTTCGTGGAGGCCTCGTCCTGTCTCACCTATGTAAACTTTATCGCAGCCTCCGCAAGGTATGCTGCACACCTGGCTAAGAGGTCTATTGTGGTCTGACCTCTTTCCCTACGATGTCTCCGATCTTCTTCCCGGACGTGGTGGCTATCTTCATCGTATGGCCCAACAGGGCCTCCAGGTGATGCGTCAGCTGCGAGTGTGGAATGATGATCCTGTGTGTTTTGTTCTGTGTGATCTTTTCTGCCTTGCGTCGAAGGTGGGCGAGCAAGGTGCGAGGGTAACGGAGGCGTTGGAAGGTGTTGTTGACGTGTTGCATTTCCTCCTCTCGGTATTCCGATCTGCAGATTCTTAGGGCTCGAAGGAAGAAACCAATGACCACGCCTTCTTTGGTTCTATTGCTGTGGGCGGAGAAATAGTGTATAAAATCATCTTTATTAGTAGGTTTTCTGTACACAGAGAATGCCGGGTCGTCAGATCTCCTATGGATTACGGTGTCGAGGAAAGGTAGCTGTTCGTTTCTCTCCTCTTCCGTGGTGAATTGTATGGATGGTTGCACTGTGTTAAGTCTATGGAGGATGTCTTAAAGGTTAGTCCTGGTCGGTACTACAGCGAGAATGTCGTCTAGATATCGGAGCCAAACTACGTTCCTCCCCACGATGTTCCGGTAGTGGTCAGCCTCGAGGGTTTCCATGAACAGCTGGGCGAGGACTGCTGAGAGAGGTAAGCCCATCGCAAGTCCTTGGATTTGCTCGTACTCACGTCCTCAGAATTCAAACGGGCCAAACTCCACGCAGAGGCGGATGAGTGCGACGAAATCATCCCTCGGCAGCGGTAGTTCATCTTCGTCCATTCCTGTCTGTGTTCTTTTCGCAACTTCGATGGCCCCGTCAATTCTGAGCTGATTTACTAACGCGTAAACGACTAAGGAATCGGTGATATCACCACTGGGGAAAATGTGAAATATATTTCAATGCCATTGATTGACTCTCAGTATCAGTATGTGAATTCTGTATTAAGTATGGTATGGAGGAGTTCAGTAGCTGGGTACTTATTCTAGGTTCTGAAATACTGTTTCTAAGTGCTTTCATTAAATTATGTATGTACATGTTTTAATGAATATTTAGTCTCCAGCCTTAACAAAGTCGTATTTATATTGTTACCTAAATATTTGTATGTTGTTGTATATTGCTTATCACTTTACTGAGTGAGAGAGAGAGAGAGAGAGAGAGAGAGAGAGAGAGAGAGAGAGAGAGAGAGAGAGAGAGAGAGAGAGAGAGAGGAGAGAGAAGGGGGGGGGGAGAAAGAGAGAGAGAGAGGGGGGGGGGAGGGGAGAGAAAGAGAGAGAGAGAGAGAGAGAGAGAGAGAGAGAGAGAGAGAGAGAGAGAGAGAGAGAGAGAGAGAGAGAGAGAGAGAGAGAGAGAGGAGAGAGAAGGGGGGGGGGGAGAAAGAGAGAGAGAGAGAGGGGGGGAGGGGAGAGAAAGAGAGAGAGAGAGAGAGAGAGAGAGAGAGAGAGAGAGAGAGAGAGAGGAGAGAGAAGGGGGGGGGAGAAAGAGAGAGAGAGAGAGGGGGGGAGGGGAGAGAAAGAGAGAGAGAGAGAGAGAGAGAGAGAGAGAGAGAGAGAGAGAGAGAGAGAGAGAGAGAGAGAGAGAGAGAGAGAGAGAGAGAGAGATTTGTTTTCATCATAAAGTATCTAAAAAAAATAAAGTCTCAGAAAAAAATACTTTCATACCATCACCGGCATCACAGTAATTTCAGTGGCATACGGATCAGAATCCCTCTCCCTCCACCATTCCTCCCTGTTCCAAAACACAACAACCAAAACCTAAAAAAAAACAACCATTTAATTTCTCATTTTCAACATCTTTTCCAAACCCAGTAATCCAATAATTCAAACCTACTAAAAACGATATAATTACCAACACAAAAATTCACCAGGACCGGGATCCTCCGTCTCCTCTCAGCTGACGGCAAAATATGTCGGCAATAACACGGTCTCTATTAAAATTAAAGCCCCTTGGCGGCTTCCAGGCCCTTGTAGGCACCCAGTCTGCTCGCTCGGCGGGAAGTAAGTATAATTAAGGAGAGAAAGGAGAATTTAGAAGTAAATTTGGGCACGAGTTTAAGGTATATTGTGGGCATAGGGAAGACTTTTTTTTGTGTTGTATTTTTTATCGTCTTTTATGGTCTTCTTACTGTGAAGTTATAGGTATAATAATCGTAAGTCTATTGCATGTGATTTGAGTTATCTTTGGTTAATAGTAATGTAGGTCATAGTCGTCCTTCTAAAATATCATACCCTTTAACTATGTCTCGTATATTCCAACTTGGGCATTTGTTACCCAAACCAGGATTTCGTTTGAAGCCATAAATCCAGACCTATCCTCTCCTACCTTATATTCATTCCCAAGAAAGGGGGCAAACCACCCTGTACCCCACCCCCACCCCCACCCATTATTATCACTTTCCAACTAACATAGATTGCGACATTGAGAACTCTTAGGGATTTAGACTCTGTGCGGCAAAATGCTGAGGACGTTTTTTGTCACTCCGCAGTAAATATGAGGCCGCAGAAGCTGTACGTGTTGTTTATGACTCTTGCTCTTATGCGCTATAAGATGGCAGTGTCCATTTCCCTCGATCTCTGTGCATTGATCTCAGTAACGTTAACCCCAACTTGCTCTGTGGAATTATTCATATCTATATTATATGTAAAAAAAAGAGCCACACTCAGAAAGATAAGAACAAGAAGAGTAAATGCCTAATAAGGCTCATTCACAACAATACTTAGGTTCAAAAATTAATATGTTTATAATAACAGTAAGGCTTTCATCTCTTATAAGAGTTCACAAACTTGGGCCACATCCACGCTAGCAGAGAGCAGGTGTTTGCAGGTTTGCAGCCGGCGCTTCAAATTCTGATTTGTAATTCAGATTTAGGGCCCATATTTGCTAGAGAAGAGGACCCCCAACAACAAAGCAGCTCCACATGCTCAGCCCTATTGTATGGCAAGAGAAAAGGAAAACTATTGTAATTGTTTATGAAGTGACCACACCCCCTAATACTCCAGCCACTCTGGGGAATCTGCAATCATTGCCATATGAACCAAAAATCCTAACATAGGTTTCACCCCCATAAAACCCTGCCGATTACTGTATTTCCTAGTTTAGGATTACATTCACCTAAGGGAAGTCCCATGTCCTTTGTAGCCTCTGTGTCTTTGGTGTTCTGGCAAAGGCCAATAAAACTCTCCCACATATATATTCTTCATGAATGATTGCCACGTAGAGCTATTAGATGATATTTCCAGAAAGTAAGAAGTTTGTTGCCTTTGCTGGGACCCTGAAGATGTTGAAGTCAGGAAAATCAATTGAGTTGCTGCAGGTTTTTGCTAATGACTATGGGCTCTCTTTTCTACAGATTATTTTCTGTACTTAATACTAGTGTTTTGTATCTTTTTTGTGGTTTTTACCTTATTATTTCTTTATCCCTACCAAAAACAGAAATGTTTATTATAAGTATGATATGTCTGGAAAGGCTTTTCCAGCTTAGTAAAGAGTTGGTATGCTTAACGGCATTCACAAGTTCTGTAGGTCAGTTATTTTTCTTTATTTTTCTTTATCTTTCTTTTATGGATATTGGTTAAATTGTAAGACTGTTATGATTCATCAGTAAACTTAGCTAAAAAAAAAAATAAAAAGAAGAAGAAGACTAATAAATGATGTTATGCATATCAAGTAATTCTGTAGCCTCCATGTTTTATACTCTGGTAGTGGCCAGTAAACCTCCACCATATGCATTCTTGCAAGTTGAGAATAATCATTAATTTTGGCAATTTATCATCAAAATGAGAACCCAGTTTAGGCTTTACCAGGATTTACGTGGGGGAGATTTGTTGGCCTTTGTTGGAGTGCAAAGCTTGGAAGCCACGGCATCACTTTTATTTATAAGTGGCATAGAAGGAAGAGAGATATTAGGAATGGATAACCAACTTCTAAATTTTTAAATAATAGCTGTCATTTTTATTCTTTTTCTTCTGTTTTCATAAGCATTGGCATGCACAAGTCCTAAATGCAGTTACTTTTTATCTATAATAAATTTTTCTGAGACATGTATGTTGTTTCATATTTCAGACTGGAACAAGGACTGGAAGCCTGGTAAATATCCCGTCACCCCAGAGGAGCGCGCAGCTGCTGCTCGCAAGTATGGTCTGCGACCTGACGAATACGAGCCCTATCCTGACGATGGCCTGGGCCTAGGAGACTACCCCAAGCTGCCAGTTGTATCAGCTGAAGCAAGAGACCCCTTCAGAGACTGGGACCATCCTGAGCACCGAAGAAATTTTGGCGAGCCGGTGAGAGAAATCGGTCTTTGGGAGATATGCACCTGATGGGAGAAACTAGGTTGTTAGTGGAGGGGAAGAGTATGAGAAATGCAAGCTTTTATGTGTAGGTAAACCGTCCTAGAAAGAATATTTTACAAGTGCAAAATGATCAACATGACCACATGGTGTGTGCTGGATAGAAGTATTAATGGCAGTACTATTCATATTTATAGTGTTAAGGATACAGTTATTTCAATAAGGCATACAGTGTGTGAGAGATCAAGATGGAAGCCACCCCCCAAAAAAAATATAATAAATAAATAATAATAATAATAATAATAATAATAATAATACATACCTATATATAAGTGGATCAGCATTTATGGAGATAATTGATGTAGTCACCTTTATAGTACTGACTCTGTTTCCATTTCAGATCCACGCCAGTGCTGATATGTACGGCCTAGACCGCGTTGATGACACCCAGAAACCTCGCTTTTCACTCGGTGATCAGGCGCTCACCTTCTTCGGAGTCATGGCAGCTTTCTTTGCTGTTTACTTTTACATTGATGACAATAAGATGCACTGGCCAGTGGTGGGTATAATTCCTCTTAGTTTGTACTCTTTGATTTATCTTTTTATGTGACTTTTTTATATTATTAAGTGAAGAAAGCAAGTATATAATTTTATTGATATTAATTAGAGAACACAGACAGTTGTAAAGGTTTTGGGTTATTTTGAATAAAAAGAATGATATCTGAGATAACCCATTGACTTTTGAGCAAGAAATTTTCCATATATTTAGACATATAAATAACCATACAAGTTGTATATTAGCAACTAGAAGCTCCAACCATTAAAGTATGTTTTGAAAATATAGTGTTCATGTGATTTTCTTTTCCAGCTTCCCAAGCAATTCCCAGAGGAGGGCAAAACCCACTACACCTTCGAGCCAGCAGAGTAATATTATTATTCATCGCCTACTTTTAGCATGTATATAAGGGTCAAACAGAACCATGTACAATATATTTCATGAAAAACTGTTAGTAAATTAAAAGAGGGAACGTCTCTTAATGTGTGTGTTTTTATGTAGCCTTCCTATTGTAGTTTTGTGAAGATTATCAAAATGAAAGTTTGTTCTTTGGTGTAAAGACATATTCAGTGGAATGAGTATTTTAAAACAAAGAACACAAAAAGATTACTGTGTGGTGTGATTATCTGCTCTTTTTTTTTTTTTTTTTTTTTTTTTTTTTTTTTTTTCCATAACAAATTTACAGTTGGTTTGTACTAATGAGAAAACGAGAAGGGAATGGTAGGAGTTAGTGGGAGTCTATAAAAAAAATACTCAAAAGTATATTTTTTATGAGGATAAATCAAAATTATTAGTAATTAAGCAATGTCAGAAAAATGAAAAGTTTCTGGGTTTCAAAAGTTCTATTGTTTTGCAGTATAATAATATTTTGACACAGATTTTACAAAGTGTCTATAGAAATGGCAGATAAAAAAAATGCTCTGAATATAATCTTTATTTTCCATATCATAACAAGTCCAGCATATCTGTTAAGTATTCAGGTCCTATGAAACTTGAGTTATCTTTCACTTAGAGATTTATATATTGAAAAGTAGTTGGTATTTTTAAATATGTAAATTTCAACCATTGGCCCAGTGATGTCAGAAATGGCATATACTTTCATACCCTGCCCACTGTGAGTTTACTTTTTATTAAACTTTACACATAGATGGCTCCACAAATACTTAGATACAAGTAGTCAATTACTAGTACTACCTATCTCAAATGTTTAACTTTTCTTTGATTTTTGGAAATATTTTCTTTCATCTTATATTGCTAATAGTAATGTTAATAACATAATGAAAATTGTAATGTCTATAATAATGATTAACATCATCGATATTGAAAGCATTTGTAAAAATAAGCATATTTTGCAAAAACTCAAGGAAAGTTGAAATTGCAAGAATTTACAAAGTCTTCTATGGGACTGTTTGAAGACTGGGTTCTTATTAAGCCATCTATGTGCAGAAATATTTTTGGAAAAAAAAAGTTACAGTGAATGCACGATTTTCACAGCAGCAGCAGGTAAGGAAAACCATTCTGAAAGTAACTGCTAGTAGCACTGATCCCCCAAAATTATGGCAGCCCCATTAGTACCTTTAAAACTACCAAAGATACATCAACTCTGGCAGAACTTTTCATCTATCATTACTTTAATATGGGTAAGAACCACTAAAAGCATTGCCAGGAATTTAGGAGCCATTTGCCTAGAGAAAAAAATCAGTCTAAAAGTACAATCTCAGGAGGGACACCCAGCACATGTCCCTCCTCCCAAGTAATGATGATAATATCACTTATTATTGGTGCCATCCTCATCATCATTTGTCATTCATCATCTTTCATCACTCCTTATTCATCACTATCCATCATTCATTAACATTATCAATCCTCAAACTTCGAGGATATAGGACTCATGGCTTGTTACCGGTGCTACTGACAGACAGTCCCCAACACAACAGAACCCCCCCCCCAAAAAAAAAATATATATATATATATATATATATTATATATATATATATATATATATATATATATATATATATATATATATATATATATATATATATATATATATATATATATATATCCTTCTAAGATCAGCCACCTCAAGCAGTACCTCCCAGCCTTGGTCAAAAGAGAGCAAAAATATTTAATAAGAGAAAATGAAAACAGTTGCATGTCCGGAGGTTGATGCCATCCCTTAAATAGTGTAAGCTACCATGATAGTCACTCCATTACCTTAAAATATTGCTCAGGATAATGAGGTGCAACATTATGACATTCATATTAAAGGTACATATGAGTAATGACAACAAGAGTTAATTAATACTATTTGAATGTGTGTGTGTGTGTCTCTATGTGTGTAAATTTTATAATTGGAAGATATGCTAACTAAAAAAGCCTGGTCTGGGGTGAACAATGCTTATTTTCTTTTTACAAATCTCAATGATGCAAGAAATAAATTGTTCAAACAACAAGAAATCACAAATCAACTGGATAAAGGATACTAAAATAAAAACTGTAATGATAATAATAATGGCACTTATGGATGATAGATAAGAATATCAGAGAATAAAAAGAAAATTTATTTCATTAATTAACAGTCTTTCAGTAGTAGTTTCTATACCAATGATAATTATCATCGGGAAGGACAATGAAATCGCATTGGCTTCCTTATTACCATGTACTAAACATTTAAAAATCTGAACATAACACAAAGGCATACTTTCACATAAGGGGAAACGAAACTACTTTCCTTTTCCTTTTCCGTGAATACTTCAACCTACCCATACCAATAACACAAAAAATGAAATACAAAAAGAACTATTTCGTCTTTTAAAAATAATCATCAAATGTATAAATATAAGATAAAAAGAAAAAAAAAAAACATAAAAATAATAATAAAGTAAGTCCGTACCCTGTAACCTGTCGTCTGCACGGAGGTCGACTTTAAAATGTACTAAATTTGTAACACAGAAGGAGTCATGTATCACTTCTACCGTGACGATTAATTTCACTCCAGTGGTGGACGTTTTGAAGGTAATAACATCATCCTTAGTGAATACGTGTCAATTGGTCTCATAAATAATAGTTTATTGACAGCAAGAGGATACCCATATACCGTTTTCTATAATATTATTAGTGTTATGTTTAAGAGTTATTTTTACATTCGATGCAGTTGGTTGATAGGGTTCATATTCTTAGTACTTGTGAGGAGTTATGGTATTTATACGTCATACACCAAGACTGGTTATAAATAGATCTTATTATTAATTGCAGGTAAGACGTTTAATAATATCACGTGTTGCTGTATGATCAGTTAGGATATTATTTAAGGTATCAGTTAGAATATTTATGGTCTAAGTATGTCAGGTTTTACTGTTAGATTTTATTTTCTTTCTGTCTTAAACTTTATTTTCTTGCCTTGCCAATTCATCTTCTTTATTTATTTCTTGGTCTAATTTTCCCTTTGTTTATTATGTTACTGTCTGTGGCATATTCTTATATTTCTTTCATTTCATTAATTTCTTTCCTTCTGTCCATTTCTAATTTTTTTCTTTGTCTTTTTCTTTATGTTTTTTTCCCTTTTCTACCACTTCATATTTTTACTCTCACTTTCCCTTTCTTTCAATATTTCTCGACCTCTTTGTTTCCCTCTTTTCTTCATCTCTCTCTGTCACTCTTTATTTATTTATTTCCTTCTTTGTTTCTTTCCTTCCTTCTTTCTTTCCTTCTTTTCTTTTCTTTCTTATTATCTCTTTCTCTTCCTCTTTCTCTCTTTTGCTTTATCTCATTCTCTCTTTCACTCTTTCTTTCTTTTTATCTTATTCACTTTTTTTCTTTTTCTCCTTTTCTCTCTCTCTCCTTTAATCTTTCTTTTCTCCTTTCTTTCTCTCTCTTTCTCTCTCTTTCTCTCTCTCTCTCTCTCTCTCTCTCTCTCTCTCTCTCTCTCTCTCTCTCTCTCTCTCTCTCTCTCTCTCTCTCTCTCTTCTCTCTCTCTCTCTCTCTCTTTCTCTCTCTCTCTCTCTCTCTTCTCTCTTCTCTCTCTCTCTCTCTCTCTCTTCTCTCTTTCTCTCTCTCTCTCTCTCTCTCTCTCTCTCTCTCTCTCTCTCTCTCTCTCTCTCTCTCTCTCTCTCTCTCTCTCTCTCTCTCTCTCTCTCTCTCTCTCTCTCTCTCTCTCTCTCTCTCTCTCTCTCTCTGTCTTTCTCTCTCTTCCCCCCCCCTCTCTCCCTCTCTCTCCCTCTGACTCCTCTCCCTCTCTCTCTTTCTCTCTCCTTCTCTCTCTCTCTCCTTCTCTCTCTCCTTCTCTCTCTCTCTCTGTCTTTCTCTCTCCCCCCCCCCCCTCTCTCCTTCTCTCTCCCTCTCTCTCTCCCCCTGACTCCTTCTCTCTCCCCCTGACTCCTTCTCTCTCCCTCTCTCTCCCTCTCTCTCCTTCTCTCTCCTTCTCTCTCCTTCTCTCTCCTTCTCTCTCTCTCTCTCTCTCTCTCTCTCTCTCTCTCTCTCTCTCTCTCTCTCTCTCTCTCTGCGTCTTTCTCTGTGTGTCCTTCTCTCTCTCTGTCTTTCTCTCTCTTCCCTCCCCCCTCTCTCCCTCTCTCTCTCTCTCTCTCTCTCTCTCTCTCTCTCTCTCTCTCTCTCTCTCTCTCTCTCTCTCTCTGCATCTTTCTCTGTGTGTCTTTCTCTCTCTCTGTCTTTCTCTCTCTTCCCCCCCCTCTCTCCCTCTCTCTCTCCCTCTCTCTCTCTCTCTCTCTCTCTCTCTCTCTCTCTCTCTCTCTCTCTCTCTGCGTCTTTCTCTCTCTCTGTGTCTTTCTCTCTCTCTGTCTTTCTCTCTCTTCCCCCCCCTCTCTCCCTCTCTCTCTCTCTCTCTCTCTCCCTCTCTCTCTCTCTCCTCTCTCTCCTCTCTCTCCTTCTCTCTCCTCTCTCTCTCTCTCTCTCTCTCTCTGCGTCTTTCTCTCTCTGTGGTCTTTCTCTCTCTCTGTCTTCTCTCTCTTCCCCCTCTCTCCCTCTCTCTCCTCTCTCTCTCTCTCTCTCTCTCTCTCTCTCTCTCTCTGACTCTTCTCTCTCTCTCTCTCTCTCTCTCTCTCTGTCTCTGTCTCTCTCTCTGTCTTTCTCTCTCTTCCCCCCCCCTCTCTCCCTCTCTCTCTCCTCTCTCTCTCTTCCCCCCCTCTCTCCCTCTCTCTCTTCTCTCTCCTTCTCTCTCCTCTCTCTCTTCTCTCTCCTTCTCTCGCTCTCTCCTTCTCTCTCCTTTTCTCTCTCTCTCTCCTTTTCTCTCTCTCTCTCTCTCTGTGTCTTTCTCTCTCTGTGTGTCTTTCTCTCTCTCTGTCTCTTTCTCTCTCTCTGTCTTTCTCTCTCTCCCCCCCCCTCTCTCCATCATATTTCATATATCCTTTTCTCTGTCTCACTCCTCAGACAAAATGGAGGATGGGAATTTACTCCGCTTCAGGCTGTACAAGGTCCTGCATGGGCCAGTGCAGCAGTCATTCGTATACACATTCCACCAGACATA